TTTCGACAGGAAGAGCCGTGTCAAAGGGAAGGTTCAACTTACTGGGACCTAGAGTTCTTCTGGAGTGCCACACTCAGTTCAAAACAATCAGTTAAAATGTCATTTTTGAGTACAGAACCAAAAAATTAAGATCTTCCAGGAGGCCCCTCTCTCATTCTTCCAAGCCTCAGTGTGTCGTCCCACTGCCCCCTCCCCCCAAATTCACCATGAAACCTATAAGGGATGCAATATGCCATTTAAATGTAATTTTTGCCTTATTTATTTACTTATTTTATTTATATCCCACCTATCTGGTCTTACGACCTTCAGGCCACATTTAATCCAGAGTTAGCCTTTTTTCAGAAACTGGAAGTGATCAGCCTGTCACTTCCTTTTCTGACTCGCCAGGGTGCATGTGTTGCATTTAAATGGTAAATGGTTCTCCACAGATTTCTGGGAAGTGTAAAAAACTGAGAGGGAGTGGTGCAGCCCACCAAACAGCAGGTGTGTGAGGGAAACAAGGGTTCTCAGCCCCTCAGAGGTTGCCTATTCTGTTCTAAAACACATTCAAAGAATCAGAAATTTCGTGTTTCTCAAAGATAGCCACAAGCAGATACCATTCGTCTTTCTTTGGCTTAACCATCAACTTCTTCCCAGGGATCATATGACTTGAGACATCCTTAGAAGTGCTGTATGTTGAGAAGTATTAGGTATTTCATGGCCATGTCATAGGCACAAAAATTAATGTTATATTTATTAGAACACATTCAAAGAATCAGAAATTTCGTGTTTCTCAAAGATAGCCACAAGCAGATACCATTCGTCTTTCTTTGGCTTAACCATCAACTTCTTCCCAGGGATCATATGACTTGAGACATCCTTAGAAGTGCTGTATGTTGAGAAGTATTAGGTATTTCATGGCCATGTCATAGGCACAAAGATTAATGTTATATTTATTAGTTCAGAAATGGGAGGCTTTTGGCTCTCCATGTGTATTGGAGTTAGAATACCTGGAATCCTCTATCACTGGCTATGCTGGGTGGGGATTCTTGGAGCTGAAGTCCCTATATGTCATTCAGTTGATTTGCTCATGCAAGGATACTGTTTTTTCACACTGAATTTTTAAAATGACGAAACTGAAAGTACATAATGACTATTGTTTTTATTAGTAGAATTTCAGCTAACAGACTACTGTAGATTCCATGGTGCAATTGGCAGGCTCTGTGGGAGCTGGGAGATCACACATTGGGGCCTGAGAGAAGGGCCTTCTGGAAGATCTTAAAAAACAGATGGCGTTGGCTGTCATCAGCATATTGGTGGCACCAAACTACACAATGCTGGACAGCCTCTTTCAGGTTTTTCGAGTATATGTGAAATAGTATAGGGGATCATGGAAGCCTGAGACACTCCACAGGCTAATGGTTAAGATGTTGAACAGGAGTCCCCCCCACCCCCAGCACCCCTGCCATTCAAAAGTGACAACATGTAAAGGAAAATCCCAGAAGCTGACTCCTTCTTTCATCAGTTCACTTCTCCCAAAGCAATTGTCTGGGCTGTTTTTCAACAAGCGTCAATGATAGTGATCAGAAAAGGGTATCCTGTAGACCATCTTGACTGCTGCCATTGGTGTTGTCAACATTCAGACTGTCTTCTACTATGTAAAGCTTGGCATCCCTTTTCCTGCTGGGAACATGGGCAAGATGTATTTGCAGCAATATTGGCCCATTTTCTGGATTTTTGAATAGTGGGGACATTCATAAACTGTTGTTGTTTTAAAGAATTAATAGTACTGTGGAGTTCTTTGCTCTGATCAGTTGCCCTGATCCTGCCATCATGTTTGGTTTTACAGTGGGGTCTTGACTTGAAAACTTAATCCGTATTGGAAGGCGGTTCTCAAGTCAAAAAGTCTGTAGGTCAAGTCTCCATTGACCTACAGTGCATTGAAAACCGATTAACAGGCCGTTTTTGTTCCATTTTGGTTTTTTTCTGGTCTGTAAGTCAATTCTCAGGCTGCAAGTCAAACCTAAATTTTGCGGCCAGAGAAGTCTGTAACTCAAAAAGTCTGTAAGTCAAGCTGTCTGTAAGTCAAGGGTCCACTGTATACTATTCAAAATGGAGAAAAAAAACAGTTTCTGAAACAGTAGATAATGGTTATCTCTTTGAAGGTTCATCACATCTTCTAAAATATGAGCATTCTCTCTGAGTTTTATATCATACAAAAATTTGCTAAGCATACAGTTCACTCCTTCCTCCAAAGTTATTGCTGAAATAATCAAAAAGCACAGACAGGTTTGCAACACCAACGGATACCCTTTCTGACCGGACACACACCCTTTTATTATAACATTTTGTGCTGGATTTTCATACCAATTCCAGACCTATTCGGATGCTACTTCACATACCCAAACCTTAGTATTCTTGACTCCAAACAGAAGATAACCCTATGAAGCAACCAACAGGGTTGGTTTCTGAAGCAACGGACAGCTTTCTGGTATGAAGAGTCTGATGATCAGGTCTACATTATGGTGAAGAAACATCATTGAAATAAGGGAAGACTTGTAAAAGGATTTATTGGGTTTGTTTGTTTTGAAGGGGAAGGAACATGTGTTGGATATATCTGATTTTAAACTCACTGTATATAATTTGATACATTTGCATTATTAATAATTTCTATATTCTTAGGCACTAAAAAGAGGAGAGGAAGGATTGTATTCTTCCAAAATGACACAGTTGTAGTCTGTCACTGTATGATTCAGGCAACTGAAATTATGTTTAACCGTGCTGTATTGTGATGAAAGGGGACTTGTGATCATAATCTCCCAGTACATTTCATATTCACTTATTTACAGCCATACACACTCATATAAATTCATTATATTTACAAGCATGAGACCATTTTTGTACATATTCACCAAGAACAAGTCATTAAAATTTATTTACACAGCTGGACTTGCATTAATGAATAGCATGTAGCAATTCTCCCCCCTCCCCAAAACACTGAAATTACTATTTTTTTTTTTAAATCTGGAAGCTGCAATGGATCATTTTTTTTATTTCATAACTGTTCCTATTCCAGTTCAAGTTACTAAATACAACCTTATACTAAGACAGTTCAAGATCCAAAATACACTTTCATCCTGCAAAGACTGACTGCCAAGTCTAACATTATATTTAGACACAGCCTCTGGAAAAAAATACCAACTTTCTATGACAAAAATCCAGATATGGTTGCAGTCATTTGTGAGAGGTGCACAAATGGGTACATTTTAAAGCTCTCCTGCTTGACTTGCTTGCGTTTCCTATAAGGAAACCAACTGTTCAAACTTGTGCACCGAATCCACCCGACATATTGCCATTTTAGAACCTGGATATTTTTTGCACTGACATATTCAAAATGTAAAGTTTGGCCTGGCAAACATTTTATCCATATACATTAGAAAACATCTTGTTGTTTCCACAATGATTAGTTACAATATCTAAATATTAAGCACGGGATTGGAGACGCGTCAGCCTGCCATATTGTTTTCAGCATGTTTAGATCTATGACATGCCAGAAGGAATGAAGAGCATCACCCCTGCTTTCTTTGCATTTCGCCAAGTTCCAGCATTACATAAGCCAGTTGGGTGCTCTCTCTTTTAATAACAGGTACAGGTCATTCCCCCCCCCCTCGTCTTTTGGGGCCAGCTGCTCTGCTGTACTATCCATGAGCCGCATGTATTTCGAATGACCGAACATTCTTCACAACAAAGATGCAGACACAGCTTATATAAGACACACTCTTACAGTTCAGCTGAGATATGGATGTTGGAGAGAACTCTCTAACTCTCTCTCTCTCTCACACACACACATACACACACACACACATACACACAGAGCATTTAGGAAATTGTACTGTGAATCCATCAGAGATGGGTAGACGGTGGAGGGGCAGAACTCTTCTGATCTCTTTATCTTCCAGGAACTACACCAGCCCTTCCATGTATAATGGTTCAATATATATATTATAAGTGTGTGTCTCTACATAAAATTTCTTGTGGGTTGAGTGCTTTGGCGTACAATCCAGATAATTCATCACATTCCACAGAGATGCACACAAACACACTCTGGAAAGGGATACATAATTGGAACACATAACAGGTCAGGGTCAAACTGTAACCACCACCGAAGGCGCACTGAACAATGCACCCCGCGCACAGGGCTTAGCCCGAGCTCATGCGCCCATTCCTTCAACAAGAGAAGATATATCTGCACTTTGGGTGAACCTTCACAGCAGCTGCCCATCTTATTTAAGGAAATAACAGAGCATCTAGTTCCCGTCTGTAGCCGACGGATACTGGTATGCGCTGTAGAGCTGTATCTCTGGTGGAGAACATGCTCAGTGTTTGGACACTAAGTGATTACTTGGTTACTCTGCCTTTTGTTACCTTTTGTTTGTTTGAAATTTCTCCGTGTCTATACAGCTACTGCAGTTGCTTGTGAAGAGGAAAGTGGGAGAAATGTGCACTGAATAAAAAACTGACCCTGGATGGACAGAAATCTGATTCATCCGATTGTATTTTTAACTGCTGGGTTTACATTGCGAAGCAGGTTCCAACGGGTGCAACTCGGGTGAAGAGCTTCACTGTGCGCCCTTGTGCTTTGCCCCAATGTCCTCTGTAACTATTCCGTTTCAGCTTTGTCAACAATCACTTCAGAGTCCTTTTTTAGTCTGCATTCTTCTTAAAGTGCACAGAAAGCACACCGAGGCATTAAACCACTTTTACTGGATTCACTTCTTGCTGCTTTTCTTGGTCTTCTATTTTCTCTATAGGGCTATAACATGAAGTATACTTTCTTTAAATCTTGAAAGAATTAGCTATTCCTATCCACCTCTCCATATATCTGTAGGCTGCAACTCCAATAATTCCTCCTAAAGATGGATGGTTTTCTTTCTTTCTTTCTTTCTTTCTTTCTTTCTTTCTTTCTTTCTTTCTTTCTTTCTTTCTTTCTTTCTTTCTTTCTTTCTTTCTTTCTTTCTTTCTTTCTCTCTTTCTCTTCCTTTCTTTTTTTGTTTCAGATGTGGAAAAAAAGAGAGGAAGGCTTTCGAAAAGAAAGCTACGCATGGCTCAATAGGTACCAAAATATCTGCTGGCCAAAGGCCACCAGCCCAATCCAAAATCACCTGCACATCTGTGAAAGGCTAAGCAAACAATGGGCCAGCAGCTGCAGGGGGTTTCCCTTCAGGGTTGCCGTTAAATGCACAATGGAAAAACAAAATGCTTTTCCATTTGGAAAGACCCGCAAGCTCACCTACTTTGGGACCTTTGCCTAGATTTTCTCGGTGGCTTGTTCTGTCACTTCCACCTGTTCTTCCACCGGTTGCATGGCTTCTTGCACATAAACTATAAGCTCAGACGCTTCTCCCCCCTGAGTGTAAACTGTCACAGTCCCAATCCCTTCCACGTTGTCTGAGGAGACCACCAAATGATGCTGTTCATCCAACTCCACTGAGGCGTCCTGCAGCGTTTCTTGAATCATCACGGTATGGTTGGCTGACTGCTCTTCTTCTGTTACCTGTAAAGGACACGGTCAAAGTTATCAAGGGCACCGTCACATGAAATATGCAAAGCAGGTCCACATGACGGCTAACGTTTAAGATGAAGAGATCAAAACCAATGGTTAAGTCTCATACAGTGGACCTTCGACTTATGGAATTAATCCGTATTGGAACGGTGGCTGCAGGTCGAAAAGTCTGTAGGTCAAGTCTCCGTTGACCTACAATGCATTCAAAACCGATTAATCCGTAACCGGCCGTTTTTGTTCCATTTTGGGTTTTTTTCCCGGTCTGTAGGTCGATTCTCCGGCTGCAAGTCGAACCTAAATTTTGCAGCCAGAGAAGTCTGTAACTCGAAAAGTCTATAAGTCGAGCCATCTGAAAGTTGAGGGTCCACTGTATTAGTTCTATTAATGGTACTTCAAGAAATGGAAGAATGTGTTTCATTCATAGAACAGGTCTGACTGCACAAACAATGGCTCATCCAGTTAAAGGTATCCATCCATGTAATGGAACCCGCCAGGCATTTTAACAGCCTGTAGCAAACATCAGAAGTCTACTGAATGCCTGGATGGCCACCATAAACAGCTGTTCTGTGGATCCCAACTTGTCTAAGCCTGCACTAAAAAAATGAATGAGGAACCTGATACATATAAACTCATAATCAAAGGATTTCAAGTGTATAGATTTCCACTTGTCTGTTAAGGGAGAACAAGGTCTAGAAGATCCTGGAAAACCAAGGAAAAGTGCAATGTCCTTACGTCCTGAGTAACCCAAGGTTAAGAACCAGTGGTCTAGAAGATCCTGAAAAACCAAGGAAAAGTGCAATGTCCTTATGCATTTTCTCCATCCTGGATCCCATTCCATGTCTTTCAACCGTCTTGTGGTCTGCCTGAGCCACAAGTGGAACCGTGCCTTGTGGGACAGTTGGATGTGGCCCTCAGTTTAGTACAACACATTTAATTCCACACTAAGGCATAAGAGAATCCATAAGCTAGACTGGCATCATCTCATATTTTAACTTGATTTGTAGTGCAACGGCCCAAAAGACTTGCCCCATTTTATTATTATTATAAAAACTGTTCTTCTTTCAAAGAGATCAGGGTGAAATGTACAGTTCCCTCCTGCTGTTTCACTGCAAAGCCACCAGATGAGATGCATATTATCCACTGAGAACAACAATGCATTTGGCCCAAGGTCACCACATGAAGATCATGGATGAACTCAGGTCACCATTGTTTGAGAATGCTAATACTTCCTCTGAAGAACAACAAAGACACAGCCTGCAAAGGTACATAAAATCAAGGTAAGATAAAAAATAAATCCAAGGAGAAACATTTCAGTGGAAGAGAGTTTCAGTCATGAATTGCCAGGCTCACAACAGCAATATGATCTGGAACACCTGCCTATTCGATGAAGAACATTAATAATCATCCATAGCAATTCTGACTTTTTAGGGTTTTCCAGGTAGAAAATATTCAGAACTGGGGGGGGGGGTGCCCTAAGATTGTGCAGCTTGCCCAAGGCTACCCAGGCTGGCTGTATTCCCAGGAGACTCTGAACCACTGGCTCCACAGCCGGATAACTAAAACTGAGCTATCCAGCCCATTTAGATTCTATTACTAAACAATACTTTAATAGAGATGGGGATATTCGTATCTGTATATAAATACCCCTGCTCAGGTGGACATAAAGAGGATCCACTCACCCTCCCACTGTTCACTCACCCTTCTGCTGCTGTGGCAGGCTCCGCACTACCCTTCCAATTGCTCCAGAGTGCCGGGTCGGCTTGCACTACCCTTCCAATTGCTCCAGAGTGCCAGGTCAGCTAGCCACTCTTCAACCTGGCAAGGAGGCTCGCCATCCCACCTCCTGCCAGGAGTGACTAGTCTACTGCAAGTTCCGGAGCGATAGGAAGGGACTCTCGTCCTGCCTCTTGCCAGGAGTGACTAGTCTACTGCAATTTTCAGAGCGATAGGAAGGGAGTGCAGAGCCTGCAGCAACAGAGGAAGGGTGAGTGGACAGTCCGGCCCTGGGGGGGCTGACCCTCATTATGTCCAGCTGTGAGGGAGTATTCATATTCGTATACGGATACCTTCATCTCTACACATTAAAGTCTTTCTTATTGTTGGTTTCAAATGCTCAAACTACCTCACCTCCTTCATTCTCTTTCTCTGGTCACCTGATCTTCTGACCATTCCCAACATAAAGATATCAGTTTGTGTTTGAAGCTTACACTAAACCATTTCATTTTGGATTTATTTTTATCTTGTCTTATTAAATCTTCATGCACATTTGCCAAATATGGATTTATTCTTTCCCCAGCAGACTGGAGATATAAGCACTGCCCTGCCAACACAGTGGGTCATCTGAAAAAAGAACTAACCACCTAGAAAAAGATTATATTAATCTCAATGCCAATGCTTTAATTTACATGCTGTTCTCAAGTCCGAACACTCAGTAATTCAACATCTAGAGCACTATGCAGATATTTTCAGCCTTGCAAATACTTTCTGGTTAAAATCCTGTTGCTAATGTCACAGTAGAATACCCCCCCCCAAAAAAAATCAATGGGGATTTGGTGAATCAACCCCTCCCTAAGTTCCATTGATTCAATTGGGACTACATTAGTTGTTACTAACTTCAAACTAATAAGCTGCAACTACAGGCCCCTTTGAATCATTGGAACTTAGGGAGATGACTTACCAAATCCCCTGATTCAACAGGCCTATTCTAGTGTAATTTACTGCAGTAAGCAACAGGTTTTCAGCCACTGCTGTGATTTTGGGCAGATGGAGGGTAACATAGTATATAACATAGTACAGTTGTGTCTTGCTTAGCGATCGCTCCATTGAGTGATGAAATCGCTTAGCGATGGGTTTTTGGCCATCGCTAGAGCGATCGCTTAGCGATGGTCCCTATGGAGAAAAATCACTTTTTGATGATCGCGGGGAAGCGATCACCGCAAAGCCCCCATTTTCGGCCAGCTGATCGGCAGTTCCAAAATGGCTGCCGGAGAACAAAATGACCGCCCGCTGTGTTGCCTCGCTTTAGAGGCACCGAAAATGGCCGCCACAATGGAGGATCTTCGCATAAGGTTAGTTTTAAAGTCCATAGGAACCCATTAACAACTTTTAATGCATTTCTATGGGCTTTTAAAAATCGCTTAGCTATTAAATCGCTTAGCAACTTTTTTCCGGAACAGATTAACGTCGCTAAGCAAGGCACCACTGTATATACATGGGTGAGTTATAGAGACCAGAAATCAATGCATATCCCAAGTGGTTTCTATCATTTGTGTGTTCTCCCAGGACAGTCTTCCATCATCATCTTAGAACTGCAAAGCTGGATGGTCCTATGGATCATCGAGCCTAGCCCGTCAAGGAGGCACAGTGGGGATTCGAACACCCAACCTCTGGCTCTGAAGCCAGAGGCCTAAACCACTAAGCTATCTAGCTTGACCTGTTTCAGATAAACAGCAGATTGAAAGACCACTTTCACAGCACTCTGGTAGAAATATAAAGTTACTGTAGTGGCATATAATGGGCTTTTTTTGTGTGGTTGACGAATAATCAGAACATTTCAACTCACTTTAATTTGGATTTCTATTCACCAATCTGTGATTACCAAAGCAGAATATCTTAAAATGGGAAGGGGGGTGACTTCTGGCTTGATGCTGCGACGAGACAGCAACAGGAGGATGGGCCTCTGTCCCCTGGGCTGAATTCTGACCTATTTGGGACCCCCCAGGGCGTTAAAACCACCCCGAAGAAGTGGTGAAATGGGGGAGTAGCCTGCTGATCATGGGGGGGGGACAGCACAGTTACTCCCATTTGATCTGGGAAACTCCCCAATCAACCAGCGGGTGGAAACAAGCAGCTGAAATAGCTTGCTTACAACTCATCGGCAGCCGGCAATGGAGAAGTGATAAATCAGCTAATTAACATTGTGTTATGACTATCCCTGGACAAGACAATCCCTACAACAGAGATAGCGTTTTCTATCCCCACCCCACTTATTGAGCAGCTGTGAATCCAGAGAAAGGGAAGAGACGCAAAGAGACACAAAGAAAAGAGACTGGACATTAATTAGACATTTAATTATACTTCGAGGAAGGAGGTTTGGTATTACTTTGTTTTTAGAAACTTAAAAACCTTTCTCTTAGAACCATTATTAGCTAAACAACGCTGGGAAATCAAACTTGTTTATGTTATGGCTATAGTTATCTACAGCTTGGCAAAAAGCCTAGAACACTGATGGTGAACCTTTTTGAGCCCGAATGCCCAAACTACAACACAAAATCAACTTATTTATTTCAAAGTGCCAATACTGCAATTAAAACCTGAATGCTGAGGTTTTAGTTTAGAAAAAAAAACAACTGCTCCTGCACTGCAAGGGTTAAATGCTTGTTTCCCCCCCCCCAATGGGCGGTATTAACAAATAAATACTTACTGGTGGGGCAAATCTGCCTTCCAGTGGGAGGGGTTCCAAAGGTTGGGAGAGTCTTTGAAACACAGCTGCATCTTTGATAGTGCAGGGATGGTGTTAAAATACTCGTATGTGTTTCAAACACTTAGTTTGTTTTCTTAACGGACTCCTTATAATATCTTTTTCATGGCCAGTGCAAGAAAAAAATGTCCAAAAAGAGGTAAAAAAGGGTCAAAGGCTTCATGGTGTGACTGTGCCCATCCTTATTCCTTCATTCATTTCATTTTTCACCCAGCTCTGGCCTTAGGAAAGTTCTTTTTGGTGCAAATGCTGGAAGATAAGGTTTTTTTTGGAGCACCAGCCTAGAATCCGGTCAGAAGGCCAATATGGGGAGATTTTTGTGGCCTATTAATGTATGACAGGGGATACATTAATAGGTCAAAAATAAAAAAAATCATGCAAAATGCAAGCTTTTGTGGATGAATCACATGATCAGAGGG